CGGACCCAAACTGGAGGGGGCAGGGTTGGGCTCAGCCATGCACCAGGTTCGAGGCCCTGATGCATGGCGGGGGACAGCATACACTTTTCCTTTGCCCCTGGGAGCATAACACCCTCTCTATGCGTCTGTTCAGATTCCAGCCTCACATTGCTTCTCCCAACCACCCTGCTGCCACCCAGAGCTTCATTTGTCCCCAGGCTTGCTAGGGCTGAGTAAGTGTGCTGTGAAAAGTGATACTTGTAAGGTTGTTAATACAGGTTGAACCTCTCCAGTTCGGTATTCTCTGTTCGGCAACATCCATGATCCAGCATGATTTTAGTTAGCTGGATGTCCTTTTATCATGGATGTGGACAAGTATCCTGCCATCCCATAAAGTTTGTTTGCAGCCAGCAGTCCTGGGGTTCATTTGCAAGTTCGAATGCCTACATTAGCCACCCTAGTTCAAACTAGGGTGGCAGTATAGATATACCCTGACACCCCAAATATTGAGGAGAGATGCACTTCTGTGTCCCTGTATAAAAACATTTGTCAGTGGTATTCTATATGGCCTGGTCTACACTATGGGTCAAGGTCAAATTAAGATATGTAACTTCAGCTACGTTAATTGCGTCGCTTAAGTCTAAGCATCTTAACTTGAATTTTATCGATGTCCATACAGACCAAGGGAGCACTCTTCAACTTTTAACTCCTCAAAAGCAGGACTACCAGCATAGACAGGAGGGCCCTCAGTTTGAATTAGCATGGCCTTACTTGACCTGCTATTTTGAATGCTGGAAGATTGATTACAGCTGATTCAAGCTTATCTGTAGTGTAGACATGGCCTACTAATGGTCCAAACCACAACAGTGTACAGTTTTATGGGTACATTTTATGGGGCTATGGGTCGTGGAATTTTGAAACCTGGGTCCCTAGCCTAGCAGAGTTCTGGGTATTTCTTTCAATGCACAGTTGAAATGGTAAGCTGCCAGATCTTCCAACTCCTCAGGGCACCAGTGAGGAGATGTTTGGAGGAGGAATTCAGCATTCCAGGTGGCTCTAAAGCCACAATGTTGTTTACATGGGTTGTATCAGTGTGCTGACCTTTTCTCGACCTTTTAGTGTTTAATTATGTAGGCCTTTGAAGTAAGCATAAACATAGCACAAAGGGATGTCATAAACTCTGCTGGCAGAAAAGTACACAGGAATGTAACTGCACCATTACTAAAAATATGTTAATCCTCACAGTGCACTCTATGGGATTTTGTCAATTAAGTTTTTCAAAGTCCAGTGAACAAAAGTTGTCCCCCACACTCCTCCATGGAAGCATGACATTCTAGGGTGTTAACTTTTTGTGAATTGTCTATGTGTAACAGATATCATGTTAGCCATTCTAATGGCAGACATTTATTGAGTATTTTAACTCAAACTCCACAGAGGATGAAGGACTGGTTGAGTGCTTAGGGCACTAGTTCAGACTCCGAAGATCCCGCTTTGGAACCTTGCTTTGCCACATACTTCCTGTGTGATCTTGGGCATGTCATTTTGCTCTCAAAAATAAATATGGGTGCATCTACATAGCAGAGCTTATCTTGAAATAAGCTACACAAATTGAGCTACATCAATTGCGTAGCTTATTTTGGAATAGCTTATTTCAAAATTGGGAATGTGTACCCAGCAATTATTTCGAAATAGAGCGCTCTTCTTCTGACTTCCCTTACTCCTCATACAATGAGGGTTACAGGAGTTGGAGTAAGAAGACCTCCAGCTTGACAGTATTTTGATATTATGTCGAAATAACTGCCTGCTTTGTAGATGTGGACTAAGTTATTTCAGAATAATGCTAGTTATTCTGAAATAAGTTTGCTGTGTAGATGCACCCTATGATTGCACTTCCCTGCCTCACAAAGGAATGGTGATAGTTAAATTCACTAACAGGTTACATACTTTGTTGCTGCTGTAGTCCAAGCATATTGCATACATCTGGAGCCCTTGCACTTCTCCCTCCTTGTGTTTTGCCTTCCCACCCTCACCTATTTCAGGGACTCCCTGGCACCCTCTGCAGCATGTGGTCATGTGTCAAAAGTTGTGTGTGCCTGCCTCCCTTTGTCTCATTGATTCCCATTTACCCCACTCTCGGCAAGGGCTCTGTATCCTTAGGAATAGGGCCATAATGCTAATATGCAAATGAAGTGCAGGATTATTTAAGTCTCGGCTTCATTTGTAATTTTGAATGTCTTCATTTGCAGTCCTCTCTCGAAAAAGGGTGCAAGTGTAGACATGCCCTCCTAGATTGCAGTCTCTCTCTTGTACCCCAATCTCTTACTCCAAGCTCCCTTCTGCATCCAACCTCCATCCTAGACACCGTATCTCCTCCATTAATTTAATGGAAGAATATGGCCCTTGATCTCTTTCAAAAATCTTGGAGTGCCCCACCATCAAAAATTATTACCCACCCCAATCTAGATAGTGCTTGGTCCTGCTGTGAGGGTTGCTGACTGGACTCAATGATCTCTCAAGGTCCTTTCCAGGTCTAGTGTTCTATGATTCTAGGAAATGAATTCTTTGCTTCTGTCTTCACAGCTTAGGATGTTAGGGAGATTCCCAAACTTGAGCCATTCTTCTTAGGTGACAAATCTGAGAAATTGTCCCAGATTGAGGTGTCATTAAAGGAGCTTGTAGAACAAATTGATAAACTTAACAATAACAAGTCACTGGGACCAGATGGCATTCACCCAACAGTTCTGAAAGAACTCAAATGTGAAATTGTGAAACTATTAACTGGTTTGTAACCTATCCTTTAAATCAGCTTCTGTATCTAATGACCGAAGATAGCTAATGTGAGACCGGTATATAAAAAGGGCTTGAGAAGTGATCCTGGCAATTATAGACCTGTAAGTCTAATGTCAGTACTGGCAAATTAGTTGAAACTATAGTAAAGAATAAAATGATCAGACACATAGATGAATATAATTTGCTGGGGAAAAGTCAACAAGGTTTCTTTCTGTAAAGGGAAACCATGCCTACTAACCTACTAGTGTTCTTTGAGGGGGGTCAGCAAACATGTGGACAAGGGGGATCCAGTGGATACAGTTTACTTCGTTTTTCTTCATACCGTGCACCGTCAACCTGTGGAACTCCTTGCCAGAGGAGGTTGTGAAGACCAGGACTTTAACAGGGTTCAAAAAATAACTAGATAAACTCATGGAGGATAGGTCCATCAATGGCTATTAGCCAGGATGGGTAGGTATGGTGTCCCTAGCCTTTGTCTGTCAGAGGCTGTAAAGGGATGACAGGAGAGGAATCATTTGATGATTCCCTGTTCTGTTCATTCCCTCTGGGGTATCTGGTATTGGTCACTGTCGGCAGACAGGATACTGGGCTAGATGGGCCTTTGGTCTGAGCCAGTATGGTGTTCTTACATTGTTATGTTCTTATGTAACAAGTAGGAGAGATGGTATAATCCACTGGACATGACACTAGAATGGGTCTCCAGAGTCCTGATCTATTCCCAACTTTGACCATTGGAAAGTCACTTCATCTCTCTGTTTTCCCTCATGTTTGTCTTGACTATTTAGACCAGTAGTAGTCCAAATCAGTGGTGGGCAATCTGTGGCCCATCTGATTATGGGCCGCAAGACTTTTTGCTGATGTTATCAATGTGCAAGGCCCCGCGCTGCTCCCAGTGGGAGCAATGGGAATGGTGCATGAAGGTGAAGGGGCCATAGGAAAGTACTGACCACCACTTCCTGCAGCTCCCATTGACTGGGAAAGGTGAACTGCAGCCATTTGGAGCTGCAGGAGGTTGGTTGGGAGCAGCATTCCTGGGGATGGCTAACATCAGCAAAATGTTCCATGGCCCACAATCAGATTACTCTGATGGGCTGCGAGTTGCCCACCACTGATTTAGACTTTAATCTCTTAGAGGTGCTGTCTCTTACCATGTATTAGTATTAAGCCTTGCACAACAGGGACTAGTATTGGCCACAACATCTAAGCATCACTATTATACTACTTCTACTAACTATCCAAAAAGGATATGGGGAACAATCGTAAGATATCTCTGTGTGCCTGATACAATTTGCTGATCAAGAACACGGAAACAAACATGAAAGCAGGCCAGTTACTCACTGTCTGCCTTTCCAACACTCCAGCTTCTCTCAGTAGTCACTTTGTACTTCTGCTCTGGAGATGGGATCAGATTGCATCTTGATACTGGATGTTCCCAAATTTTCTCTAGCATATGGAACTTCTAAACTCTCCTTTCCTTTCAACAGTGACCGACAGCCGAGGCATCCTGGAGAGTATTCAGAGATTTTCTTTGCTGCCAACTTACCTGCCTGTGAACTATCATATCCACAATGCAGACATTTCCTTCTTTCTTAAGGAAGCCAACCAGGATATCATGAGGAACTCTAGTTTGCAATCCCGGGTAGAATCCTTCCTGATCTATAAATCCAAGAGGCCACCTGTGTTAAATGCAAGCTATGGACCCTTTTCAGTTGAACAAACAGTGCCTCAGGATCTAATGTTGTCTTCAAATCCATTTGGATCCATCAACAAGTTTTCCTTTAACTGGAGACTTAAAGCCTACATCATGAATGACAAAATTTACCTGAGGAAGCCGAAAGTCCAGATCCTGTTCTACATTGTGGGCAGGGACTGGGATGACTACAGCTCCACAGAGAGGCTGCCCTGCCTGCGTGTGTTTGCCTTCCGCGAAACGAGGGAAGTCCGAGGCAGCTGCCGCTTAAAGGGGGATCTGGGATTGTGCGTGGCAGAGCTGGAACTTCTGCCGAGCTGGTTTAACCCCCCCACAGTGGTGGCTGGCCGTAAGAAAGTGATGAATCAGTCTGAAGGGAGCCCTGTGGAGCTTTATTATACCATCCAGCCAGGGGATGAGACTGGGGAGTGCACTAAGGAAGATGTAAGGAAAAATAATGGGATCAGACTGGGCCGCAATGATATTGATGAATCAGTACCTCCTTTGCAGAGAATTGGAAGTGTTTTCCTTTACCAGACACATGGTGACCCATCCTTAAGTGAAATGAGGTTGGATAAGAATATTGTCATCCGATATGTACCAAAGACTGTCAAGAAAGGTGATATTTTGACTTTCCTTGTGTCTATTGATAAAAATTCAACAGAAGACCAGTTCACTCTGAGGTAAGTTCTTTCTAAATTGCTCTGTTAACCTGAAAATCAGAGATTTCTGATGTTGCTGTTGCCTTGTTATATTGGACGTCTCTTTCACAAGTGGAGATTTCTGGTAGCTTTCCCACAATTTCTACTTTATAGATGTGATTTAAATATTGTTGCTTGTTTGATCCAAACTAGTAAAAGTTGCCTCCTTTTTTTTCTATTATCCACTCAAAATATTGAGTGACCTGGCTGTGGGATAATTTGTGGAAGGCAGGACAGCAGACGTTGTATAATTTTGCAAATGGGACATTTAAAATCACTTACCCATGAGTAGAATAAACTGCAAATTTTCCCCTGAGCTGGATTTTGCAGAGTGCCTAGAACGGCTCTTTGTCTCCTGCAGTTGTTGGCACCACCTGATATTAAAAAACTGTCTGATTTAATAATTAACCAATCGGGATACTTTAATATGGTAAGTGATGCTAATAATTATGTATAATACTTGGTCAGCCATTGTGCTGTGAGGAAATATACATATATAGACTAGAAAATGAAACAATGAATTAATTAATACTGGAACTCTTTTGGGTAAAGTTGAACATACTTCTTGGCTCAAGAAACACTGAGGTCGAAGAATCACTATCCTAGACCTAACATGATCTGTCATTCGAGCCTCTTGTTAAAACATCTATATGCCTCTCATCCTACCTGGCTTGTAAGCCCTATTAGGCTATTTAATATTTTCTTCTTAGGAATCCCAAATATCCTATGATTAAAATAAATATATTTTTTTTCCTCAACCCAGGTGAGAAGTTTTAATGAAAACTGTAGCTCGCATTGCAGCATCACTCTGTTGTATTTGGTTGCTTCTTTGGCAGCCCAGGATTTCCGGCCTTACTATAGCAAGCTTTGAGCGCTTACAGTGTAGCAGGCGGTTAACCAGAAGGCTTCAGTGGACAATAGATGTGCACGAAATACAAGTGACCTTTTCCCCAGTGGATTCTCTGCTTTCAAGCTTGTCATTCTCTCTGTACCAATATCTTGTATTGCCAAGGAAGAGAAGTGCACAAGATAATTTCGGATTATTATTCCGCACCAATGAGTGATGCCACTTCTCTGAAAAAACTTCACTTATGTCCACACTGCAATTGTGTTCTTTCAAAAAAAAAAAAAAAATCAAAAGTACAGAAGGGTTTTTCTGATATTGATAAACCTCTTTCCGTGAGCAAGAACCCTTTTCCCAAAAGAGCTCTTTCACAAAAAGGCATGTGTGAATGGGGAAAAGGGAGGTCTTTCAAAAGAAGAGGAAAGAGGAAAAAGCATAGGTGCCCTGGTGGCCACTTCATCCACAGTAATCACAGCTTAAATGCAAGATAGCGTCCATTCAGTGTGGATGCTATCTTTCGAAAAAGCAGATCGCTTTTTCTATGCACTTTTGTGTGTGGACACTCTCTTTCAGAAGAAGTTTTTCGGTATATCTTTCCTCGAAAGTCTAGACATAGCCTTAGTGTTGGAGGTAAATGTCATAGACTGTAGTCTAGACTTCTGAAACTGAATAGGTATGGCCTTGTCTACACTAATAGCATAGCTGAAGTCGACATACTTATTGTATTGTCTTCCACACGGTAAGGTTGGTGGGGACTGCTCTTCCATCAACTCTGGCTACTCTTCTCATCCTGGAGAATTTCCTGAGTTGACAGGCTGAAATGTTGATCCGCGTCACAATGGGAAACAAAGCCTAAGACTGTGCTTTGAGAGATGTCTTTCTGAGCATGTGGTAGAGATAAGCTGCAGCACACAGATTTAGGGAACATTCAAGCACAGTGCCTCAAATGAGATCTCCCTCTTGGCAAGCAATTTTAGTGTCTACAGTCAGCAGTTTCTCTGCATGTTAAAGATACTGGATATAGCCCTCAGCACCGTCTACTCTAAGAACACTTTTCAAAACTTTAGTGCTCTGCCTTGAGGTAAAACTTCTCTACCAGTTGCATTAAGTTGAACCCCAAATTCTCTGGCTAACCCCACCTCAGCTTCTCAGAAATCTGAACCACAAGAATAGCACAAGGCTGACAATGGATTCTGAACTCCTAAAGTGAGGAAATATTGGGTCTAATTCTTCATTCAATTCCACATTGATGGAACAGAACCAGTGGAACAGAACCAGTGTAAAATTGGTAAGCATAGGGCTTGTTTTTTCTGTCACCTAATGTGATTATTTTCCCTCTCAAACTGTAAGATATGGACTGGGTGAACCATTTGTCTTCAGCTGTTTGACACTTACTATAAAATTGCTCTTTCTGTTTTGTTTTGCTCTTTCTGTTTTGGTTAAGTCTGGCATTTGGTAACTGTGCCTAGAACTTTCAGTAACTCCTTACAGTACCTTGCATCTGTTGAAAACATCTTTTTTTTTTTTCAAGTCAGAAAGAAAGGAATCTTGGGCAATTAACTAATCTGTGAGTTTGTTAGAAGACAGGAAGTGTGTCTGTAAAGAATGCAATAATTTATCACCCATTCACCTCTAATTATTTATGTACTTGTTATCTTAGGAGGATATCACTTCAGACATGCATGGAAATTCCTACTATGCTTGAAATGTGATTTAATTATAAAGATGATAGACTTTTTCAGCCTAAGAGAATAAATACAACTTTCCTTCATTGCATTTACACTGAGAATTTAGGGTCTAAAACGTTGATGTCAAAGAACTTATGTGCTAATTAGCTGTGAACATTAAACGGTAGAGCTTGCTGGAGAATTACAATTCATGAAAGAGTTTGAAATCTGGCTTTGTTTTTTATAGGAATGAAATGCAAAAACTTCAGAATTCTGGGGGAAGGAAGTGGCTTAGCATTGAGTGAAAAGCCTGGGTTTGTTTATTTTATAATACATAAAATATATCATTAGAAAAAGAGAAATCACTTCAAATAAAAATATCAAAATGGGACATTTTGGCATAATTAACATTTTTTGGAAAATGTTTGTTTGCCAAAACAAAGTTTTACCCAAGTCAAGTTGATTTCAAGAAGCATTTTGATAGAACTTTTCTAGGTATTTTCTTTGGAAAAAGATCCTGTTGAACTTTTTCTAGCTCGTGTTGCTTAAAAGAATGGCCTGCTGTAATAGCAAAGTAGTTAAATGTGTTTCTGAAGCATCTCTGCTTGTCTCTAATTAAGCTACCATATCTCGTATTTTAACACCTCTGTCATCACTATAGTATCTATATTCCCTTTTTGCCCTGCGGTGAAATATACCTGTCTAACTCAAGTGTTTGGAGTGCTGCTGTTTGTATATGTTGTTTGGCATAGGACAGCAAGCAACCTTTTGAGGAGTGCTAAGAAAGAACTTTTGGGGAAGATTCACCCCGCGTTAACCCCAGGGACTGAGTGGGGAATAGTGCTTGGTGCTGGCCTCTACACAGGAGTAAATTTTGTGATCTGTCGTTATCCATTGGAATAGCATATCAGTAATTAGTATAAACAAAAAACAGGACTATGTAGCACTTTAAAGACTAACAAGATGGTTTATTAGGCGATGAGCTTTCGTGGGCCAGACCCACTTCCTCAGATCAAA